TTCGGCCACGTACAATGTACGAGTTATATATATATATATATATATATATGACTATAATCACATGAAGTGTCAATTTTAAAAATTGGAAAAATTATTTGGAACGCTTTCACCAACCGTAGTGTTATGGGAAATTCAGAAAGAGTAAGATCTTCCCCTCAAAATTCTTCTACTCCTTTCTTTTCGAATTTCCCATAACATGTTGTGGTTTTTATTCCCACCACTAACACCACCCCACTAATACTTTTTAAAAAAGCTAACTCCTAATCTATTTTAAACAATGGGTAGGGCCTGTCTTCCCCATAAAATTACCTACAAAAAAAGACCTTGATAGAGGGTACCAGTAAATATAGAAGTATGGAAGCTTTATTTAATTGGACGGCGGTCAATAAGGAATACTTTGGAATCTCTAAGATCGATCCATTTCTAAATTTGGAGAATGGTATGAAGATGGCTATAAAGAAGACTAGATGTCTGTACTCTTGGGTGTTATCCCCTAATGGAATGCTGAAATTGAACTTTGATGGCAATTCTTTAAGAAACCCTGGTCCAACTGGAGTTGAAGAGTTTAATTCGAGGCATATTATTATGTCTTATTCGGGTTCATGTGATCATGTGTTATTTCCAATGAGGCTTTGCTGAGTGTGATATTACAAGGGTTTAGGCTTTTCACTGATCTACACGTAGGCAACAAATTGTTAACAAAAGGAGACCCGCAAAATATAGTTTGTTTGTGCCGTAATGAGCTAAGGCTTAGAACGCTATGGATGCAAGTTCTAGATTTGGTATCCTTCAATCATGTTTATGGAGAAGCTAACAAGGGTAGATATCTACTTCGTAAAACCTAATGGGGGAGGGTTCGCTTTCATGATTATTGGTGGTCTCTGGTTCGATTTAATTTTGACTTTTTCTTGACCTTGTAATTCTTTTCTATAAATATTATTTTGTAACTTTCATTAAAAAATAAAAATAAAAAATAAAAAATAAAAAAATAAATAAAAAAAATAAAAAAAAAATAAAAAAAACAAAGGCTCTTTTCTCTTCAACATTATTTTTTGGGGGTTAATTTAGTGGTAGGATTCGATCTTCTAACTTAATAACCTTCATCACGTTTGCATTTCTTTTCTTCTAATTGTTTTTGTCAATTTGTGAAGGTGAGTCTTGTGACTCTTAACATTTTAGGAAGTGAAGAAAATCAGTCTAGGTTATGTTCATCCTTTCATGCCTTAGCCTTTAATAATGAATTAATAATGAAGAGAGAAGATTGATCATTAATGAAAAAGCAACGATGATTGTTACATGTATGAAAATAAATCACACATGTGGGAGTTTTATTTAATTTTTTTCTTTTTTTTTTTTCGGTCATTGGATTGCATTTAATCTAATGGTTATGATGTTGTAGGAACTTTACTCTTTTAAAACGATTAAAACCCTTTTGTTTAGAGTGAAAAAAAGATATAGCGATTAGGGCTTCAATTGGGTTTTCTCTTGATGGCTTAGTATGTTCTATTTTAGAGAAAGAAAATGAGCAAAAAGGCTTGAACTCCATTGTGGGTTTGCTGTGTGACATATTTTAGTGATAGAAAGTGTTAAAGAGAACCCATTTTTAGGTGTTCTTAAAGCCTTATTTTTGGGCTCTATTTCGAGTGAGAAAGGGCTGCTGGAAATTGATATTTTGAGCTCGATTTCACCGTGTAATCTTTTCAAATCAGTAAGTAAAGTCTCGCGTCATTCTCCCGTGGATGTAGGTCATGATTTGTGACCAAACCACATTAAATCTTTGTGCTCTGTGGATTGAATATTGCGGGATTTTTATTATTTGTTCTTTCTTTGATATTGTGTAGTTTTCATTACTTGTTTATATTGATATGAATGCACAATAGCTGTGAATGTTATAAATCCTTGTTGATTTTTCACCAATTGATCTCAACAACTGGTATCAGAGCCTAGGGTTTGTTCTTCATTGTGTTTGTGAAGAAAGGGATTTTTTGCTATTGTGGTTATTTGTCGTATTTTTCTTGAAAATGGAAAGGGCAATGAATTTGAAAAATTAAATCAAAGTAATTGGCCAATATGGAAAATGATGATAGAAGATTATCTTGTTGGAAAAGAATTGGATCGGCCACTTTGAGGTAAGGAGGCCATGCCTGATGGAATGGAAGATTGGGAATGGGATGTGTTTGAAGACATTTTTCAACACCTTGGCTCCCCGATGCGGAATAAAAGAGAAGCCGATCAATAAAGCCTTGATTTGGAATTTTCAACATTCTCATAATCGCTCCAGAATGGGTGTGAATATTCCTAAGGACCTCAAAAGGGCACCTGCCAATTTTTGTCTCAATCCCTCATGTCTAAGGCAGTACAGACAAAGAAACAGTTTCAAAAAAATCAGCCTCTAGCACCCTAAAACGGACCCTATAACTGAAACCCTATTTTCGAAGCGTTAAATAACTGTGTGACCACTGCCATTAGATCCAGCAAGGTCGAAACCCTCAAGGATCAAGTTTCTGCTTAAACATACACTCCAGGACAAAGTTATGAGTAAAAGATTAAAAAGGGGTAGGCCGCACGCTATTCCCGTGTGCCCTTCCTGCACCAGTGTCCGTTAATGAAGAATGGTTTTCATAGTTTTGGACAGTGAGTTTTGAGAGCTATATCTCTTTCGTTCCGAGTCGGATCGCGTTCAAATATTGCTAGCGTGTTTGTCTCGTCAAGGTGAACGCTTGGATATATAGCACGTCCCGTAATGATGTCCGAGCAAGGAGAAAAGCTAGAGAGAAGTTAGTGATTCAAGAGTAAGGTTGCGGGAAATGCAACAGTAGCACGACCCACTCGAGCAGCCATATCAAGGCGCTCGCATACCCGATCGACATGAAACTAGTTGCATTGCATGCGTAAGGTCCAGGGCTATGTCTTATCCAAACCCCATGCACGATGAATGGTTAGATTTGGTGTACGAAGGTGTTAAAGTTTTTGTAAGATTCCAGCCGTCAGAATCCAAGTTCTAGCCAATAACCCAAGTTGGTAGAATCTTCATCCGAGCATGAAATCGACTTGCGTTTGTTGCAATGAGATCGTGACGGCATGCTCCATGCAATTCAACGAGGAAATCACGAAAATACATTAATAAATGAGCACACTATGGATCGAAATTTTTGAAGTCTTATGCAAATTTCAAGTCTCATGATCTTGGCCTAAAAACATGATTAGTGGCCTGAAGTTAGTATCAAATTGATCGTCATGCTGAGCCCAAAGAAAAATTATTCATCATCTTACCAACGGGTGTCGGAGCAACCC